GAGCAATGAATTGCCCGATTAATCGATAGCAACTAGTTGTACCCAATTGAAACTAGCTTCAATCTAGCTGAAGCTAGATAAAATTTTCATGTATTTCTGTACAGCTAGCTGAAGCTAGATAAATGTATCTTTTAATCTAGATGCAGCGCCCGCTTCATGATTTTTTTCGTGCTTAGGCAATCCCATCCAGCATTTAAGCATTTCAATATTGTTGAACATATTTAAGTGACTGTTAAGCATATTTAAGTGACTGTTAAGCATATTTAAGTGACTGTTAAGCATATTTAAGCATTGTTTGAGCACTGTTGAGTACATTTTTTACTGATCTCTCTGTCTCTATTAATATGACCAGTGTCTGTCGACATCCCAACTTGTGCGCAGCACAATTGCATTCTAGTCACGTCGACAGACATTATGTGTTTTTACTGAGATTTTGTTTTTTTATTTTCTTCATTCTGTCGTCGTGATTTTTTTGGGAAAATGTGCATCTCGTGATCTAGAGAACTATGCCACGTAAAAAACTTCTGAAAACGGGAGATTAATCTCCCTACATTGGAGATTGATCAATGCACGTTCTTTTTTCAAACAGAAGTCCAGATTCGGCGCCATAAACTATACAAGTAGAGCTAAAATGTTTTTTGGAAGCAAAAATACATTGCTCACAGCCTACTGGTACGATCTGTTGGAGCGCTAGGTTCCGTCAGAGACAGAGTCTGTCGATATCGCAACTTGTGCGCAGCGCAATTGCATCCTAGTTTATTTTCTTCTTTCGTCCATTTTTTGGGCAGAATGTGTATCTCGCGATCTAGAGAACTATGAAAGCTAGAAAAGTTCTGGAAAAGGTAGGAGAATCTAACGATATTGGAAATTGACCCAGTCTGTCGACATCGCAACGTGTGCGAAGCGCAATTGCTCTCTAGTTATCTTAAGAATTCTATGATGAGGGTGAATATTTACCGGTAAGGAATTTCAGCTTTGCAAATTTTGGTTAATACATAAAGAATGTTTGATACTTCGTTTTGATGAAAAGCTCAGGGGTGTGCATCCTGTGGGCGCAATGCCTCAAATAAAAGTTGATGTTACGCTTTTTTGCTGTAGAAATTCATTTTTCAGGTGGTACACTGAGAGATCAAACCTCCGAGGTAGTACAGAATGCTTCAAATATTCAGGTGGGGACGGACGCTGCTGGAAAAGCTATAAAAGATACAACAACATCAGATACTGCAATGGCAATGTTACGGATAATCGTGCCTCCATTAACCGAATTCAAAAATTGTTTAAATTCGTCGATTCAAATTGTCTTTCTTATTCCAACAGATTTTTCGTTTTCCTTTGATATAACAGTTCATTTTAACAATTATTCTATTTTCGTTATAATATTTAACGAACCATTATTATGTATTTCTTATCTGACATCTGTAACAGAAAGTAGAATTTTTTTTGTTTTAACCGACGCATTTGGGCATAGTATTTTATCATTATTTCATAATTTGGAACAAATCATATCAATTTACAAATTTCAATCACCACTTTCAACCAAATTAACAGAAACCAATTGTTTTAAATTATCGGGTATATACACTGACGACAAAGAATTATGTAATAAATTGTTATATGATATTCGCACTTATATGTTACATAGTCCAATTTCAATGGTAATATATCAGAAACCTACTGAATATTCGACGACGGTATTTAAAAATTCAAAAAATTTCAAACAATACTCATTAAAAGAATTAGACAACGATCAAGTTAAATTCATTTGGTATCAGTTATTTGTTGATTGTTTATGTCAACTTCCACAGAGAACAGATGAAAAAAATATGATAAAATGTTAGAAATCTGTCGATCGAATTTTAAAGATAATGAACAAGAAGAAAATGCTGTAATTGACTTTCAACACACTTATAAATCGGCTGAAGCACTCTGGTGGTACACTCATGAACTAAACACATTTCTTCATACTGCATTAAACAATGCCCTACGAACAGACGACATTAAAACTATATATCATTTTCGTTATTTTATTTCTGATTTATACAAACAGTTGGGTATGATTGAAACAAATGTTGAAATATTATTTCCCTTCCGTGTTTATCGAGGACAAAAAGTGTATGCTGAAGAAGTAAAACATTTACAAATGAACATCAGTGAACTTCTGACTTTTACAACATTTTTCTTAACAACGACTTCAAGTGAAATTGCTCTAAGTCATATAACAAATGACGGTTCACAACAAGAATCCGTTCTATTTGAAATTGTAATGGATATTCCAGAATTTAAGCACTTGACACCAATATTTAATATTCGAAATGGAAGTCATTCTAAAAACAAAAATCAATATTTATTTCGATTAGGTAGCATGTGTCGATTAGAGTCAATTGTACAATTACCAAACAAAATCTGGCATATTAAGTTGTTACTAACCGACACTGAAATTAATGAATCCAATATATTTATAAATTATTTTAAAAAAGAATTTGATAATAAATTTACATTCATGACACTTGGTATGTTTTGGATAAAAACTAAACAACCTTCAAAAGCATTAGACTATTGTCATATGTTATCAACCGATAATAATCTATCTGAGAATAATTATATAGCACTTTGGAATAATATTGGATTAATATATCAAGAAATAGGTGATCTTGTGCGTTCTAGAAAATATTTTAATAAAGCTTTGGATTTATCAACACGTTGTTCATCTACATCATCCGAAACAGATTCAGTTGATTATCCCACAGCTATCTCGAGTGATATTATTTTAAAAGAACCAATAATAAATATTTCATCTTCTAGGGGCTGTTATTATAACAGAGGTTGTACAATGTTTCAAGAACGGGATTTTGTAGAAGCATTAAATATTTTTAAATATGCACTTTCTATTTCTAATGATGATAATGATGCAACTGAAATAGCGAACATTTACAACAATATTGGTTGCACCTATCATTGTTTTAGTAATTATTCTAAGGCAAGCGAATATTTTAGAAAAGCATTGACCATTGGAGTAAACACTGTAACAACAAAAGATCGGGAATTATTAGTAGCCGATTATGTTCATAATCTATCCGTTAACAATGCAAAAGACAAACCATTATCTATCTTATAAAATCATCATTTATTTTTAAGAAATATAAGAGGTATATTTATTGATTTTTTGACTTGATCATAGTATTAATAAAAAAGATAAAAATTTAACTTTTATAAGACGCGCGTAAGTCAAACTTAAAGTAGGATTTGTTTTTCGGCTTATTATACACCATTCGATAGAGCTTTCGAGCTGGTGAAGAAAATGTGGTTTTTATGTCGACAGATATTTAGCATTTATGCTGGGAATTTTGTTTTTTGTTTCTTCTTTACGAGGTTTTTTCGCGAAAAGAGAACGCCATGATTCAGCAAACTACTCATCGTAGAGAAGTATTGAAAAAAGGACAGTGTTTTACGGAAGCTGAAAACTGACCATTGCACGTTCTTTACTCAATTAAAGATCGAAACTTTTTCAAAATATCCATGTTTTATAAGTTACAATATCTATGAAAAAGCGCCTATATTTTGAAAAATTCATATCTCGGCGATAGTATGTCCGAAAATTCTGAAATCTTTTATACAAGCTAGTCTAATTGAGGCCTTTATGTAGGCAAGGTGTCAGGTCAAAATTTGAATATATAATTTTGCTGGAAAACCAGGGTCCTGTAGAGAAATTTCAGTAAAACCTCTATATCTCAGCTAAATCACAACATGGGCCCATATCCTCTTAGAGTTTTTTTAGTATACGGGTCCACTACTTATGGGCAAAATATAGGGCCAAAAGCTTTTAATCACTTCTGGCGGTTCCGCCGTTAGATTACTATTGTTATTTTTTATGCGGCGCTATTTAGCCAGAGTCTCTCTTTTTCAAATTTCCTTTATTGTCCTTTTATCTTAAAAGCAGTTCAGAGAGTAAATCAAAGCAAAAATGCGATGCTCATAGCCTAGTGATAGGATCTGCTTGGAGCAGTAGGTTCAGTCAGAGACAGAGTCTGTTGCTATTGCAACTTGTGCGCAGCGCAATTGCAGTCTAGCTTTTTTTCCTTTAGTAGTAATTTCCACGAAATGTGAACGTAATGATCTAGTGAACTATGAAAGCTAGAAAAGTTCTGGAAAAGGTAGGATATTCTCCCGACATTGGAGATTGATGCACGTTTTTCTCGTAAATAAAGGTCCATATTCGATGCCGTGAGCGTCATAAGTGGATGAAAATGTATTTTGGACTTTGAAATTTTTCGTATATTCAGTTGTCCGACGTCATTTGTTCCTTCGAGAAAAACTAATTCTCTCTCTCTTCAAATTTCGTTTTCATTTCATTTTTCTTAAATCTATCCTTTAAAGCAACTAAAATTACAATGAACATGATGCGGTGAACTCACTACTGACGCTTCTGGCAGATTCAAATAGGATACAGTTTGTCGACATCGCAACTGGGGCGCAGCGTAATTGCTCTCTAGTTAATTTTTGAAAACAATTTTTTCATATCGCAAAACCCTTCGGGTTCGAAAAAATTAGAATTTTCGTCTTATTGTCATTGCAGATTTTTCAAATTATTTTATTCTGATTCAGCATCGAAGCCTTAATAGAGAAATCGTACTTGATCGATTTCGGAGTGAAGGGGGTCGTCCAACATAGATGTCACTGAATCGACCTCTACAGTGGGAATAAAGAATTCCATAATGCTAGCTAGTTTTTGTGTCAAGAGGAGCAGCTGTGATTTACACGTCATTAGATCCGCCGGAAGCTCAGCTTCAAAGATACAATGAGCTTTTTTAGAAATTCCTTTCCATTCCTATGAAAATTCATTTTTTCTAAATTAGAGGCGAAAAACTGAGGATATGTAGATTTTGCTTTGATTTCAAAGTTAAGAGAAAGTATAAAACACTACGTATAAGTGTGATAAACTTCATTACTTGAGACATATCACCGGATCGAAAAATTTTAAAAGCTTGTTCGGTCAAAACCGATTGCCGATTCGTCTTCTCCATGATTGATTATGTGGTACGCGATAACTTTTGGATCGGGGTACTTCCGAAAAAAATTTTCTCATGGTCTTGCTCAAAAATTTTTCAAAAACTTACCGTATGGGACCAAAGGCAAAACGATGTTGAAAAAGTTTTCTAAAGTACTCCGATCCAGAAGTTATCGCGTACTACATAATCAACCGTGGAGAGGACGAATCGGCAATCGGTTTTGACCGAACAAGCTTTTAAAATTTCTCGATCCGGTGATATGTATTTTTTTGGGAGCTTTCAAATTCAAACGCTATACTGTGTTCATCATCAGCCAAAAAGAAAAAGTAAAAATTCTATACAATTTTCACGATTATAAGCAGATTACAATTTGGATTTAGAAAAGGCTGTGGAACGAGAGAGGCGATCGCAGTAATGAGGCTATTATGCGAAAGGAGGTTGGAGTTTGATGAGGAGCTGTTTGTTTGCTTTGTAGACTTCGAGAAGGCTTTT